GCTCGTATGTGTGCTGTTAACGAAAAAATTGAGAGGGTAAAAAATTTATATTATTATATTAATATTGATTATTGTATTTATTATATTCAATTTTTATTAATAATATTGATTGAAATTCTAGGTTGTATTTGTAGGAAACTTTCTCAGAGTAAATCCTATATCAATGAAACTTCTGGCTTATGCTATGGATTATTGGTCTAAAGGAACTATGAAAGCTCTATTTCTAGAACATGAGGTAGAATATATAATAAATTTTTTAAATAATTTAAATGTATTTATTAATCTTTTTTAATTTTAGGGTTATTTTGGTGCTGTAGGATGTCTGCTTCAATTTAAAGGTGAAACAAAAGTATAGAGAGAAATAATACATAAACATATATATCATTCCATTTGATTCTTTAATTCAAATGAACTTTTTTCATAAATATAATTATTTAACATAATTATTTATTTTCTTATATAATATTTAGTTTCTCAGGAAGTATTTTAGTAATGATATAAATATAAAATCAGGATTGTATTACTTTTAAATGTAGTTATATTTGTTATAGTTTTAATGAATGAGCACAGTATGATTTTTTTAAAACGCGTTACATAATTGCATAAAATTGCATAAAAACCTAATGTGGGCACAAACCTTGCACGATTTTATATAGAAGATTATAATGGACCAAGACTCAAACGCATAAATCCTACACAATATTCTTTATATCCGTAAAATGAGTCTACCTCATATTTTATTTTTTAAATGTTTTTATAAATATATGCTCACATAAGAACATAGTATTTCTTATAATTATATGCAATTTTTTAATTGTTTATGATTATTAAAAAACAGAAGAAAAAATCAATTATATTAATAAGTACTTAATATCTATTATTATCTATTAATAACTGTTATTATTATTAATAGTTTTTACTTTGATTATTAAAAGACATAAAGTATAATAATTGATTAGTAATTTGTTACGATAATGATCAAAATTAATACAAAGTATATTGCTTAGTGGCCACATTTATAGGTTAATAACATGCATTTTTTTAGTTATTTGCAAAATATATTTGATAATATATTTATCATTACTGAATTATAAGTACATGCGGTGCTTCAAGATATAAACATATAACATATTGTTAGATATTTCTTTTATAGAATAATTTATAACATGATAAACAATAGAATGATAAATATCATGATATTTGTATTATAACATTATAAAAAAAATGTTTTTTCTAAACATATTTTATGATACATTTATTATTATGGCTAATATTTGTATAAATTTACAAATATATAACAAACAGAAAATTTTTAAATTTGTTTATAAATTTATTTTTATGAAATAGAATATATGTAGTTTTCTTATATTAATAATTTCTTATTGAATGCGAAATATTAAAAATTTTGTATTGTAAACGAATATTTTAAATATGTTTAATAGACTTATATACATGCATTTAATGTGTTTTCTCATTGCATGAATATTTATAATAAAATTATATAAAAATAAATATTATTTTATTATATTTGTAATAAAATAACATAATTATTAGGAAATAAAATAATTTTTCTTGTTATTATATTATAAACTATATTATCCCTATTTTCTATGTTCTCTTTATACTGTTAAGTTTTGGTTACTTAGCAACTAATCGAACAAAACACTATAATTTCATGTTAAAACGATGTAGTAATCTTTATTAATGAAATTATAAAATAAAGATATCGATTCTAAAATATTAATTGATATTGTTATTATTTATTTTCTTAAATTTTTATTTGTAATCAACAGAAGTTGCAATAGATAGATATTTTCGTGGTATTCGACTTTTTTAATTTTAATTTTTTATTTTTTTTTATAAAAATGGTGAGTTTATAAATTTATAAATTTAAAAATTTTCTTTTCGTATACATAAATTATTTTTTTTTATATTTAAATTTTTTAGGGACCTAAGAAAGCAAAAGCACGTATCCTTGATGGAGCAGATACAACAAAAATGAATAGAGAACAATTAGAAATATATGCACATAAGATACTTGAAGAAATAGAACGCGAACGGGAAGAAAGAAATTTTTTTCAACTTGAAAGAGATAAAATCAGAACTTATTGGGAAATCACAAGACATCAATTAGATGAAGCGCAAGCAACTGTCAGGTATTTCTTATATATATTTGATTGCAAATTTAATATTTTAGTATCATTTAATTTATATATAGTATTTTTAAAGAAATAAAGAACGCGAAAAAGAAGAGTTATCAGAAAAACATGAAGCAGAGCTTAAATTATATAAACAGAAAGTAAAGCACTTAATGTATGAGCATCAAACTGATTTGTCAGAAACTAAAGCTGAACACATGGTTGCTCTTAAAATGGCACAAGATGATTATACTCTTCAAGAAAACGAATTAATTAAAGATAAAAGAGAATTAAAAAAAATGCAAAAAGAACAGGATTTAGCACATTTAAATGAAATAAAAACATTAAAATTGGTATGAAAGAAATAAAAAATTTATTTTATTACTTTTAAATATTATATATATAATAATATGTAAATAAATATTTATTATTATTTAGAAATATGCAGAAGAAATAGATAAACTAATAAAACAATTTGAAAATGAAGCTATAGAACTAGAACAAAAATATGAATACAAATTAACAAGTCAATATGAAGCTCTTACTTTAAAACATCGTATGGAAATGACTGAAGTGGAAGAAAGAAAAAACACACAAATTACAAATTTGATTAAAAACCATGAAGTTGCATTTGCAGAAATGAAAGCTTATTATAATGACATTACTCTTAATAATCTATCTTTGATTAAGAGTATGAAGGTATAGTTGATTAAAAAATGAAGTTATACATTTATAATGTAAATAATGAATTTGCAGGAACAAATGGATGAAATGAGAAATAATGAAGAACGTATGAAAAAACAAGTACGAGAATTAACAATTGAAAATAAAAAATATTCTGGCAATGAAAAATCGTATGAGGAATCTTTAGTAACTCTTACTAGTCAATTAGCAAATTACGAAAAAGATAAACAAAGTTTGGCTGTTAGTATTTATAATGTTTTTTCTTACATTGATTATTTTTTATTTAAAACTTTAATTTCAGAATATTAAAAAAAGATTAGCAATAACTACCAAAGATTTGGAGAATTTAAGATGGGAAAATGAAGTACTAGAAGTACGATTTGAAAAAGTAAATAAAAATATTGTTTTTTTTTTAAATAATTATCTATTTTCATATATTCATTAAAAGTTGATATTTTATTATTTAGTGTCAATCTGAAAGAAATGAATTACATGCAAGATTTGTCTCAGCAATACTTGAACTGCAACAGAAGACAGGATTAAAAAATGTTCTTTTGGAAAAGAAACTCGAAAAATTATCCGATTTATTAGAACAGCGCGAAGCACAAATCAGTGAAGTGCTTGCTGCTGCTCAATTAGACCCAATGGCAGTTATTAATGCTAATCAAAAATTAGAGGTTTGTACATTTTTTTTTTTCCTTCTTATTTTATATATATATATAAATGTTTTTTCTTTTTAAGAATATGCTGAATAAGAAAAATAATGCGATACAAGATCTTCAATATGAATTAGCGAAAGTGTGTAAAGCGCATGATGATCTCCTTCGATCGTATGAAACTAAATTACAAGAATATGGAATTCCAAAAAGTGAACTTGGTTTTCAGCCATTGAGAGTAAAAGCAATTACTACAAAGCTAGGATTGGGACCTGCTGGTCTTGTTACTTCGAATCGTTAGTCTTTTATAATGTTAGGATTTTAATGACTTTTCATTTTTGATTGATCATATAATATACTTTCACTATCAATTAGTGAAATGTAAAAATAATAAAATCAGATTAATACAAAAAAATTTTAAATAATTTCTGATGCAGAATATTTTTATTTTGTGAAATGAATCATTTTTAATGCATCTGTTTTATTTTTTTACAAATTACATAAAATTATCACAGAATTTACAGAGTAGATCATATAGTGCCTGATAGTTGTACAATTTCTCTATTTGATTGTTTAATATTTTTTAATTATTTATTTTAATTGTAAATTGTAATGCATCTTCATCTTATATTTTTTATAATTTTTTAACAACTAACAGGCACAATTATATTAAAGATGTTTTATATGTATATATAATATATAGATATTTATATATAGATATTAACATATAGACATAGACACATTTACTAAATATTATAAATTGAATATATCAGGTCACGTGGTTAATATAAGGTTTAAACACTTATTATAAATATATAACATGGACTTATGTAAAATACTTTTCACATCTATTAACTTTTTTAGTTTTGGAAACATTTAATTATTAAGTGAATAAATACTTAATTGTCTTTTTCTTTACTCATTTGAAAACATTATATAATATTTTGTATAGATATAATCTTATTATATGTACATATATACAGTACTAAACAAAAATATTGGCACACTGTAGTTTTTGTAATAACGTCTTTCGTAAATCTTTAAAATATAATATAATTTTGTCAACAATTTTTTGTTAAAATATAATTTTAAGTATAAGTTGATATTGTTGATTATTTATATTGCAAAATAATATTTTTTTTATTGTTTCACTGAAAATAATCCTACTTTTTATTTTTTTATCTTTATCATTATTATATATTTTATATTATTTAATAAATTCTAATATATAAATTTTAGATTTTAATATTATATTTTAGTAAAAAATTAGAAAGAAAATTCTATATTTTAAAGATTTACAAAGAATATTATAAAAAAAATGTTGGAATGTGCCAATACTTTTATTCAGCACTTAATATTTATATGTACATATATATACGAACGAATGTGTATATGTATTTTTTTTCACACATTTAATTATTATACGTTATTATACACTAAGAATTTGGCACAATAAGAAATAGAATCACAGTTGAAATCATTGTACATCATAAGAGTTATGGTTTATCGATACTTTTTTTTTCTATATCTGCAAGTTTGATTGTAATTTCTTTACTCAAAAAACATCTTAAATATATAATATAATTATATTTCATTTTGGATTATATTATATGTTATATTATGAAATAATTAGTTAAGATCATGATTTAAAAAATAATAATATGAACATCTAAAAATCTTTATATTTAATTTTGACCACTATAAAATTTTCTTGCAGATTTTTAGATTAGTCTCAGTTTATTGGTTCATTGTGTCAAAAGAATATTGAATCTATTCAATTTCTCAAAACCTATGAATATGAATCATAGGTAGTAAAAAAAATAAGCATCTGTTTTAATTTTAGACATTAGTGGTCCATTGTTCCATTGTATTTCTTTTCTTACTTTAGATTCTTATGTTTTTATTAAAGTATATTACCATTAAAAGTGCATGGATTTCTAACATTGTCATTAATAGTGCCATAATTAATTGAAAAACTGATATATTGCTACTATTTTTAAACAATTTATCAGCATTATACTTATACTATATTCATAAAAATTTTGTAAAATATAATGCTACACTTTCATTTGAATTTTTAGAAATTGTTGAAAAGATATAAATATGCAATAAACTTTTAAAGATTAATATTAGATTCTATGATAAATAATTATATATATATATATATATATATGTTGCCTCTTTATATTGGAATAATAAATTAAAATTTTTAATATTGTATTTAAGAAATATATTCTTGTTTAGAAAGATTGTAAATAGTAAACAAATATTTAATAAAAAAAATTGTATATAAAATTTTTTAGCAATTTTAATTCTGAAAGAAATATAGAGAATATGATCTTCGCGTTAAATCGAACGAAATGATCGTTAAACTCTGTATAAAAAGTATTTTTAATAAAGTATTTGTACATGCATTAGTTTTAATTTGAGATCTATGGAATATTTTTTGATTCTAATTCAACTCATTATTTTCCAGTTTGGCAAAACTTCGGCAATTAATGTAGAAAAATATGTTGTTACATTATACACAATAGTTTCACCAGCAGCTAAAATTGCGCCAAACGAACCATATGTACCATAATCTATAATACTATGATTACATGCTGATAAAACTGCAAGATCTTTACCTGGACCTCTTGCATCCACATCAGATACAAATTTTATTCTATGTCTTTTACTATTCAAATGATACTTGCACCAAACTATATTATCACTAGTTACTACAAAAACTACATTATCATACTTGCCAATAAAGTAATCCATTGCTGCAAAATAATAACTGACTGGTGCAGGTCTGATTTTTAATTTTTGCCATAGATAATCCACATAATCTGTTCTTCGAATGTGTATGCTTACAAATGTTGGTTCAAATAAATTAAATTCCTCTGCTATTTCTTTCAGTACTTTTTCTGCATAAGTTCTTAAATTTGGCTTAAATGTAAATTCTCTTCTTACATCATCCAACCACACCAAAATTAAAGACCAATAAGCTGCATGTCTATTAATAAATATATTAAAAATATGAAATATCTGTGATATGAATGAAATATAATAGTTTACCTCGGTATAATAATATTTTGTTCTGTACTGTTCCATTGTCCAAGAGAATTAACAATTTGATTAACATCTAAATTACACTTTCCAATGTAATTAAGTGGAGGAATACTAAGATTTTCAAAATATTCCTCAAGAGTTTTTAATATACAATGTGGCATAAATGGTTCCAAACCAGTTCTTCTTGCAGTAGCCCATACTGATGCATATTCCCAGATTTGATTTCCAAGCCTACCACCTTGAATTGCAGAAACTATTCCATATTTGGGACAAGGATATTCCCATTTTGGTGGTATATTAATATTCTTTGAAGAAGTATGACAAAGAGCTTGTTCATATGATGAAATCTTTATATGATGAGCTGGTGGATTATATGTGTACATAGGAAACAGGAAGACATGGATGCTGATGACCACTATCATAGCAAGAAATATTGCACTTGCAAGTATATGCTGCTGAGAGTGACTGGATATCCTTATATGCATGGTATAGTCACTACGTATATTAATTCTTTTTCTATCTTCTACTGCTTTCTCTTTATTTATTTTCTACTCTTCAATTTCCACTAGTCCAGCATTTCTTATCTACAGATGTGCCATGTCCTTTGCTTTTCGTCGTACATCTTTACAATGATAATATTATTTTTATTGAACAATATGCATCTTAATTATATATGATAACAAAATATGGATCATGCTATTGTTAATGATAATAATAAAACTAATTTAAAAAAGAAATTTATTTGAAAAGGTTTCGCAATTTTTTATTTCAATTAAGAAAAATTTTGTTATATTTTACAAATAAAATGACAATAATGCTATTAAGTAGTATAGATCGATATTAGTCAGACATTGAAAAGGACATGGCCTAGCATATTTTGTTTAATAAGCTGCTAATTTAGCAAGGTTTTATTATACAAAGCGCAATACATGTAAATTAAAATTATTTAATGATATTTGTTTGTTTGAATCTAATGAAATTATATTATACGTTATATATGATACTATAAGGTAGTAACAGGTGGTGATGTTTAGATACTTCCTATACGAATTTTGATATGTATAAATATATATACATATATATGTACGTATGTATATACAAGAGTAATATTTACTATTCATTTGGTTTTATATAAAAAAAAATAAAATTATAGAGAAAAATACTTACATTGATAAAAAAATTTTAAAAATAATTAAATATTATATTCGACTTATTTATCGAATCGAATTATGTTAGATATGAACGACTATATATTTTAATATCTCATCTACTCACCTATTCCAAAAAATGTTTGATATTGCATTTGAAATCCACTATTATTTATGAGTTTTATATTCACCAAATTTTTATTTTTATTACTCATATTTTCCCGGCGAAATCGATGCGTATCTCGTACATTGACGCTTGTTGCGTATTTACACGAGATGTTTTACATTCTCTAAAACGTTATTTCTTTGACACGAATAATCACAATCACTAATTTCTCATATTACAACATTATTTTTATTTTCTTTGTAATAAAACAATTTGAATGAATTATTGAATAATCAACGTTTCGTTCAAGCCAAATTTACATCCTTGCCACGGGGATGTTGTCCCGATGAATGACGTCATGAAGAATCGTCACCTTTGAGTATGATGTATAGATTTTTAGCTTCATTCAATGTCGGTCAAACTGATTTAACTAGATATAGTAGAATACTACTATTCCATCTATCGACTTCGATGAATCAATCGGTAATATATCTAAAATGTTTTTAAATATTTGTTGATCGTGTAAAAAATCAGTGTTATAATTAATATGTTTTTTTAATATCCATATAATATATCCATTATATCTAATATCTAATATCTAATATCGTTCCATATCCGTATTCTTAAGATTTACATTATTAATTCAAAGAAATTTTTTTCTAATATTTTATAAATTGTAATAAAAATTGAAAAACGAAATTAAAAATTGAAAAGAAAAATTTCAGTACAGATTTTGGTATTTATCAATTTATCAATAATTAATCGAAATAATTGAATAAACTTTATAGAGATGGTGCTGATAGTCAATTCTTATCCATCTATCTATCTTTTTTCCATTATTTTCTGTCTTTTTTTTGCATGTTTCATTTGCGACACTCTAAAGATGGCACTGATCTCAATATTTTTATTGTATCTCTGTCCTTCTTCTATTATTTGCTTTTCTTTTCTAATTTCTAAATGTATAATTACACTTACGGAACATTAATTGGACATACTTTCATCACTTCTCTTTCAAAACTAACGATCCGCTTTAAAATATATCTTTAAAACGGACAATAAAAAAAAAAATTTTTATAATTTATCATTTCTTAAATTTATATATTTTTAATAATTTATTAATTTTTTTTGATCAATTAAAATTTTTTCATTCTAGGAATATTTTTGTTTTTGTGAGATAATGCTATAAATGCAGAAAATGTTCTATTGTTAATTTAATTATAGTTAGTTATAAATGTTTATTTTTGAATACATAATAGTAAATATATTTTTATTTATTTAATTTTTAATTTTATGTCGATTTTATCTTATTGAATATCGTATTTGTAGATAAAAAAGAAAAATAATATTATTAAAAAAAAGAAGTAATTGAAGAATATATGCAGGATATTTCTAAAAAATGTGGAAATGCTGATTAATCGAACATTCCTGAACATTCGTATAGGATTCTTCTTTTCTTTAGCATTTTCTTTTATCATTTTTCTCCAGTCACTTCTGTTATTAATTTCACCCTTCTTTGAGACACATTTTTCTTTATTTTGTCATATCTTTTTGTCATTCACTTTTCCCTTTGACATTTATCTTTTTCTCCAATTCTTTCCAATTACTATCATACATTTCCCTTTCTTCATAATTATTATTTCTCATTTTCATCGTTTCCTCTTTTTTGTCATCTTTTGCATTGTCATCTTTATTTTTCTTTTTAATCGAACTTCTCTCTTTTGTCAGTTCCTCTATTTCTCCTCCTTTACCAATTCCTTCTTCTTCTCTTCTTTATTAATTTCTTTTTTTATCAATTCCTCTTTCTCCATTCCTTTATCAATTTTTTCTCCTCTCCTCCAATCTTATCAATTTCTCCTCTTCTTTTCCTTTATCTTCTCTTCTCTCTCTACATAATATAAATAATAATTAATTAGTTTATCTATTTCATAAGTAAATATAATTTTTTTTCGACAAAAAGATATTTATTATATTTGATTTTCTTTGATATATATTGATGCTTGACTGGCAGCACGTATGCAATGTTTGCCATTTGACTAGTTTATGCTCCAATTGACCAAATTGTTTTTTGTTAATAACTCATTAATCAAATCGTAACGAAACTTTTTGCAAAGAAAAATATTGATTAAAATCTCCAATTATGTTTTTCATATTTTTTGGATATCTTGTATATTATTATTATCATAATATGGCAGCACATATAGTTAGGTGTAATATTATTTTTAGATTTATCTTTCTAATGCAAGGATATTTTGCGATAGGACGAAAGATTCGTACCCAAGAATCAATGGCTAGAACTTTGAGAAATAGAGATCGCTAAAAGTTTTCTATCGATAAGACGCAGACATACCAGATCACAGACTTTGATATCATTAAATTTACGTCTTGATCAATATTTCCAACAAATAGTTTACCAATTTATCGATAGTTTGTGAAAAGAGATAAAATAAACGAAAGTTGAAGAAGAAGAAAATGATAATATCGTATTAATATCTTAAATGCTCTAAAAGATTTCGAACATTTTTATATAAAATCAATATAAAGTGTAATTTTTCAAGCATTTCCTAAAATTGGATAAAAATATTTTTCTAAATAAAAATTAATAAAAATTTTAAATTAGCTATAAATTTTGATTTCATATTCAAACTCAATTTTTTTTCATTCTTTCCATTGTTTGCTTTCTTTCTTTTTTGTCGCACACAATGCATAAACGTTCAGCAACATAAGATTTTAAAATTCAAAAAATTCCCTTCTTTTAGTGTTCTAAACAAGTGGTTATTTGTTTATTGGTTAATGCAGCATTACAAATTGTGAAAATACGTCATCAAGAACGAAATGACAATTTATGAATTAGTCAGATAACTCGTTTATTTTCTTTCCAATTTATTAGAAGATAAAATAACGAGTAAAGTTTACGAAGTAAGGATTGTGAAAAAAGAATATATCGTACGTCACTGGCAGAAAAAAAGTCCCTAGCCATAAAATTCGCTTAGTTACTTGGCCAACCATAGAATCGCGCTCCACACCAACTTCTTTATCTTGGCTCATCGCGATTCGCGTCATTTCAGCTTCGATAAAAAAAGGCTTATGATCGGACATAACCTTCCATCTCTTTATTCTGGAGTTCGTTGTAGGAACCGCTCGTTCGCGCTCGACTTCCAGTCGGTAAGGAAAGTTTACGCCGTTGGTCGGGAGTTTGCATGGAAATTGCATTTTGCTCGCTGAGAATCGAGCTAAATGAAATTTGATCACGAGCAGGATAGCAAGGAGGGAGAGAGAGAGAGAGAATTACGTATGCGTTCTGCGTGTGCAACGTATAGAAACGATGTGATTTATGGGAGAGATATGTCCAAGTTGTTCTCTTGGACTGTTACTTCGATAGATAGTGACTGGATCTTGACGATGGAGAGAATATTGTTGAGAGGAAAGTGGAATGGTGACTGGAGTAATATCGAAATATTATACCAAAGCTGATTTCGATGAAACAATTCGATGTCCAATATTGACGATCATATCGTTTATTTTCGTTTTATACGAAGTTGGCGAAATATGCAGAAAATATTTGCATCGTAATATAGTTATTTTTCTTTTATAACGATATAAAGTTAGAGACATAGAAAGATATGGAGATTTTAAAGATTATTGACTATTTAATAGCAATTGATGACATTGGTATATTCGTATTTCTTAACAACAGGATATTTTCAAGAAAAATCGAAAATAGTTAACCCGATTCTATTTTATTTTGAATGAATTTTTAGAAAAAGAGGATTTTTACGAATGATTTTCTAATAGATGAATTTCATACATCACCTAATCACGAATATTAAATGTCTATGATATTTTATTTGGAATATTTAAATATAACTTTATTATCTGAGTAAGAAAGACGAGGATTGTCTTTTGATTCGACTAACGATTGAGCAATTTATTTCAGAAAAATCAAATTTTAAAATTTTTATTACGTGGACGATACTTATGAATATATAAACGATCAGATCAGATGCTACACTGCAAAATGGACAATTTTAAATAATTAATTTCCAATGTCTTGTATTAAAGATAAAATGACATGACGAATGAATTTACGAAAAAAGATTTGATTTACCAACTATCGATGAATACCTCGTATCTTTTCTCGGCAAGATTTGGTTTATGCAAGAGATATGTCTAGGAAAGGGGTGTTGGTAGCTCGGCCAAGGATCGAAGGGGATGGAGTTAAAGCCGGGGAAGGGTATCTTGCGGAAATTCGATGCTAATGAAGGAAATTGCGTAGATGCCAAACCAGTATTTCCCCTATCCCCCGCCTTTCTCACCATCCTCCAAGTGGCGGTAACGAATTTCTCTCCTGCATCGTGCCTACCACTCGTGTCTCCGGGCTTGCTAATTTTCTATTTACCAACTCGCTATGTACCAAATGTTATTTCCCTTATATAATTCCGCAGACTTGTTCCATATACTTTCTTAAGGCACGGTGTAATATGTCTATGTAACAACGTAATATCTAAGTAGCTGTAGGTATAATACTACGCGTAGTAGCTGCGACGAAATTTGATACAAACCAGCCGAATTATTATTAACAAGGGCAACTTGGATGTTGTCTTACCCTGTGTATATCGTGTATTTGCTGCAAAAAGTTGGCATGGAATTTTATCGAACAATTGACAGAGAAAAATCCATTATATTGTATTTTTTTTTACCTTAATGGTAACTCATCCTGTAGATGAGTTTTCAAACTGTGAACTTTTAATTCGACGATTTTTATAACGATTCGAAGTTGTTTTCCTTTCTGAATTGCGTTTATTCATGAAGATCGAGCAGCAAATTAACGATTTGCACATTTCTTTATATTTTTTTTTCTTCTATTCTTCTGCAACGAATAGATTGAAAGTAAAAGTAATACAGAGAGAAAAAATTAGACAAAGATGGAAGATAAAAGTAAAAAAAATATAGAAAAACTCGCAAACGATTGATTGGTTCTTCAATACTTTTTTTTTCTTTTTTTTTTTTTGTCAACAAGTATATTTCATTTCACACGAAACATATTTCACGATGAATCGAGATTAGAGAAGAGAAGAGCGTCCGAAAGCGTTCGTATCGATTATTTATGATGGTAATGTTTTAAGGGATAATTGAAGAACATCGGGAAAAAATCAAGAGAGGAGGATTATCACTCAATAGAATTTCAGTGGAGGGTCGTGCTCCTTTCCCTTCCGCGTTATCTCTATCTCGTCAGGGATGTCTCCCTTATTTAAATGGGCTGCCAACGCGAGCAGGAACAGGAAGGTACGTATGTCTTCTTCGAGGAGGGGGATTGTGGCTTTGTTATGCCGATTTTCGAGGGTGAAACAAAAGGAGATGCTCGTGAACATC